TCGTCAGTATTAAAAATAATGAAAAATAAATAAACTTTTTATGTGAAGATAAATGATTTACTACAAAAATATAATAACGTTGTGATTAATGTTCAACGTCAGTGAAACAAGAATCTATATATACGCACTTTCTCTGGATGCGAAAATGACACAAGCAATTCATGTTAAAAAATATAATATTTTGCTGTAGCGGGTACCCGGTGGTCGTGGTGTCGGTGGACAACGATTGTTGGCCAGAATATCAGCTATAGGTTTATTGAGATTAATATAATTAAAATCTCTTCTCATAGGTTCTTTTTCAATTAAAACCAATTGTTTCATTTTAATATGTTCAATCTTCGAGCTAGATTATAATACAATGAATACCATATCTATAACATAATGTTTGAATAATACTTGGGTGTAACCAATTAATATTGTTCGCAGCTGGATTCATTCGAAGTATTCGTATCTACAACGTTTTTGAAATATAAATGTTATCTGTTGTTGTTCAGTTTTGAATTATGTAATTGTTATTAACACGGATGGAAAAATAAAAAAATACCATAGACAAAAAACAATTTAAATTGGATTTTGTATGTATATATGTGTAAAATTATTTTTACGAAGTTTATGTATTTAATGAATGGTTATTGTGTACAAAGTTTCGAAATATTTTTGGACTTGAAATCAAATGTACAAAGTACGATGGTACCTATGGTGTTTATGTATGTAAATCAATACATATATATTACACATACAGGTAGAATACAATAGTAGATTAATTACTAGCTGTTTCATAATTTCCATCACATAAGAAATACATAAAATACGTAATAGCAGCGGCAATAGCGATTATTTATATATTAAGTATCTAAAAGATGTTAAATTTATAATATTATAATTTATAATCAAAATCAAACGTTTTTAATATTTTTTATTGTTAATCATTCAAGGGAATGTAATTGAAGAAGGAATATATATTTTTACAACTTGGTCAATACAGGAAATATGAAATTTTTTAAACATAAAAATCGGATGATATATTTTTTCCAGACTATGAATAAACAATATTTTAGAGATAAATTTGTTTCATCATGCTTTTATATTTCTCTTCAGATAAGTTGCGCAGTTTTTATTACAGTAATAAAGTTAATTTATATTTGTCTCCTACGTTTTACAGTAGAATAGAATTTTGAAATAGAGATACCAAAGCGCTTCAACAAAAAACAAGTAGGTACCTATATTTTATTTGTCATTTAACAAGATTAAAGTTTTGCAAGCTACAATTTGTCATCAGCATATACTATGTTTTTTTTTTGTTCTTAAAAAAGAACATTTCTAACATTGAAGGAATTAGAGAAACTGAGAGAGGACGTTTAATGATTAGGTACAAACATTGTTTTGTTTTCTATTCGTGTTCAAATAATTGCATCAAAATTTATGTGTATCGATCAATAGATAAAAGTTAGATTTTTTTCTTGTAATTTTGCTAGAAATTCAACCGACAAAAGATGTCTTTGTTCTTTAGAATTTAAATTTATTAACACAATAGCGATAATATTGTCACAGTTAAATCAATCAACTAATGTTCTATTCTACGGCCGTCATGAAAGAACAACATACTTTTTCAATAATTCACAGGACTTAAGTATTTAATGCTCAGCCGATCAAACCATCTAGTTTTTATTACACATTTAGTGTCCGAGTAATGTGCTCAGTGCACTTCTGAGACGACGAAAGGGACTACTGTTTGTATTGAACCAAAATTACTAAACAAGCTTTTAACGAGCATGGTTAATGGCGAACATTGGCGACATTTTGTTTCGCTGAAGATATGTACTACGTTTCCTTGTCTTGCGGCCCATCATACTATATATTATAGCTTCATTATCATTATTTTTAATTCATCAAACGACATAAATGTCCCGCAGAAACCATTTAGAGTATTAAACGGATTCGCTTATACATATATTATACACACTCAGTTTATGTACATTTATAAATTTTAATTATTATCGTCATGGCTGAGTATAAAAAACTGTAAAAATATTGTATCAATTTATTTCAAATGCACTGTGGATGGATAGAAAATAACACTCACGTGCCATTTGACATCGCATAATTACATTTTTGTTTGCCCTATATATAGTATATATATTGAACCATATAGCTTTATAAAAATACGAATCTTCGAACGACTATGCAATAATATGTCAGTCAAGCACACAAATGCAATTTCAAAATCGTGAACAATTTCAAACGGGAAACACGTCCTGCGAACGAAGAAAGTTTTACGGGAAACGCCGAGAGTGCACGCGCGTTACGTTTAGGTAAGATTTTATTTTTGTATGATGGACGACTAGACCGAAGTTCAACTCTGTAGTTTTTCTCTCCTTTCAAAATCAGCCGTCCACCAATCAGAATGCTGTCCAGCTCCAGCAACGCAGCAATGCGGTTATAATGGTAAACTGGTTTTGTTTTCGTGAACAGATGACAAATGCATTTCAACAGAGCACGGTGTACCTATATATTGTATATTACATATACCTTTACAAAATGTCAACGATGTGACGAGAGTTTCAATACACCGTTTTACAACTTATAAGTCAAATTAATTGGTTTTGTGTCAAACAACAAGTCTAGGACTAGTTAATAAGGACATTATATACCTCGTAGAAGACCCAATAGGTACGCATGTAATAAAACACGAATGCATACCCATGCAGCGTACCGTATAGCCATTTAATGGATCGACGATATGTAGCTTAATCAGTATATAGATATTACGATGACCGCAACTATTCGTATAAGACGTTTAAAAAAAAAGAAAGACGGCAACGAATGATAATGATTATTTTTAAACAATAGGGAGGCAGGGGTTGTGTGTACTGCAATCGTCAATGCGCAACGTTTACCTGGTGCAGCAATACACAAGAAATTGTTGTTTATATAGGCACTTCCAGCCCTTCCCATTGTTGTTTAACTGTGGAATTTCGTTGTACCTTTTGTAGGGCAGAGTTCACGGGGATAACAACACAACGGCCATGTAAACATTGTACAAATTTGACGTGACAAATGATACATCGAATGGAAAAAGTCGTAGTTCCGTGATATTCATTCGACACGTACGACCTATACAGCGTTTAAATGATGGAATAAAATATTGTCGAATAAAATACGAGGTGCCAACTACAAATACTAATTATGAATAATAATATTCACCTACCTACGCTAATTTTTCCACACCGCTCACAGTAAAATGGCAAATTTCGATAACGCACGTAGGATTGTTGGAACCGTTATGTTACAGTAGGTTCTAGGACATATACACGTAGTATTATATATAAATGTATATTTTGTTTGTGTTCGGATGATGAAAATTCACGAGTAATTACATACGTCCACATCGCTGCAAATATCAAGGTATTCGAACCATGTTTCCGGTTAATTGTTTGTCCGGTGGCAATATTCAGTAATGAAAATTATTTTCTCTGGAATTCGTTTTCGAATTTAACGAAAAAAATATCAACAAAATCGCCGGAGCTTGTTTTCGCGAACCTCGTGCATTCGAACGTCATTGCGGCGACCGGCCCTAAGGCCGTTTAATTCTTTATTTTCAACTCTGTCCGAACTATTCATTTAAGCTGTTTCGCAATTTCAACACTGACGAAATACGATTCAACGAATAGTCTATCACGCGCCTATGCTCGTCAGTTGACATTTCGGTCTTACAAAAATGATAATTTGGTAAATACCATATTGTATTTTTCAATTTTCCATACTCTGAGTATACGTTAATTGAGGGACGCTACCGTTTATAATATTGATAACGAAAAAAGGTCGTTACAATCATCATAGTCGATGTTATGCAATGCACGGAGCTTCATGGACGAACGCTACTCTTTTTTCAGATAAAATAATGATGTATATACGCCCGAAGGTTTAGAAAAGAAAATCTCAAGTGAAATGGCATTTCGGTATATTGTTTAGATATGTGAATTTTTTTTTTAAATTGTATAATAGGTGTCCTACATCCATCTTTTAGTTTAGGATAAATTTATAGAGTTTGATTAGTTAGAAAGTGTAAATGAATGGTTGAAAAAAGTAACTATAGTGTTCAAAGTACCGAAATTTACGCCATTTACAATGGACAATTTTAGTGTCGCTACAACTAAACGCTACCGAAACAAAGCGGTACGTTACTATTGCATTGCTAAAAAAAAAGTAGTGCGCCACTTCCAACCATTGCATACACTCTCACACACACGTACATATATAATATACAAAATAATAATAATATGTAAGCCGTTCTTTTCAAACGCTTCGTTCCACGACCGGCTGTACTATACACTATACTATACTATATATAGTGTAAATCGTGTCCGAGAACACTTTCTATACGAATACGTTTGGCCCGTTTGGACCGCAGTTTAACGGACTAAAAATGTTCCTCGACCGTCGGTGCAACGTAGTAGCCAGTAGGTACCCTTGAACGCGATGACCATGATATTAATATTAATTGAAATTTAATCAAATCAAATGAGGTTTGTTGATACAACAATTTATTGTATTCGACAAGCAACGGGTGCACGTGGCGGCGATATCGCAAATACGATAAAATGTTCAGCATGTTTACGATATCGTTATACGATGACAGATAAACCAAGTCTCCCACGGATCGGAGAACACCGAGGCGGCGACGGCGCCGGAGACTTTGACGGGATGGACCGTAAACGACCGACTTAACGGTGAACGGCAATGAATAGATTGAAATAATATATTATCTAGATTTAAATCTGTTCTGCGAACCGACACCACATATTGTGTTAGGTACATTTTATCTACATTGACCGATAGCCTGCGCGGATCTACCCGAGTCCTACATCACTCAGGTAGTCAGGTGCATCCCCCTTCCACGGATCACGACGTTCAACTAAACTTTAATTCAATATATTATCTACTATTACGACGATACAATTTTCGGTCGTGCCCGAATCGCCGCCGGGACGTTTACATACCTCCAAAACGGGATCTCGTCGGCCCCTCGTCCGCGTTCGCTGATTTCTAACACTCGACCACTTGCGAAACGGCGCGATTTACCGAATCTTAAAGATCGCACGGCCCGGGTGACCGCGGCGACGCGGCATTATAATAGCATACGACAACGACGATAATATTATTATTATTCACCATGTACAGAGACCGGCACACGATCGCGAACTGTAAAGTCACCGACGATCGATGATAGCAGTAGTAATAATAATATTATTGTTTTGTTATTATCGGCGGGCGGAAGCGCACAACACACTATTTACACTGTCTCAAACGGGCGTGCGAGATAAGCGAAACGAGAAGAAAAACCAAAACAAAAACAAACTTCCGATTTTTCGCGTAAAAACAACAACAACGTCGTGTACTATATTTATATTAATAACAATATTAATCGCAGTATTAAAATACGTCTGTCGTGTGTTTGTTATTATTTAAATCATTAATAATTATTATTATTGTTATTAATATTTAATATTATTCGGAAACGGCGGCACCCGATAACGCGAGAGAGCGTGTAGTAGACGCGCGACGATACGCGCCACCAATAGCAGCGCACGGGAACGAACTGCCCGAGTGGCGGCTCCGGTGGCGGCCACGAATTACGATTTACGACACAAGACCACGCGCTCACGCACGCACATGCACCTGTTGATCATCTTGAATCGGTTGCATTCTTAACACTCCGCCGCCGCCGCCGCATTCCAATCGGCGGCGGCGGTGGCGGTGGCGGCGGCAGCGGTGGTGGCGGTCGTCGTTATCAGTCTACGCCGCCGCCGCGTCCCCACCCAGCTCGGCCACCGACGAATGCCGGGCCACGGAGTATACAAAACGGTTGCGACCGGGGTTTCTCGATCGCGCCGCGAAACGCCATCGCGAACGAACGCCGTGACGCTGTCCGAGTTCGTTATTTTATTATTATTATTATTACTATTATTATTATTTTGCTAACAGAATCTCCGAGATCGGACGTCCGACGAAGCCGGCAAACGAGAATACGCGAGTCATGCTTGTAGTAGGTATCCACCGACCTCATGGCTGGTCGTATGTTATTATGTTATATAGTTACCTAGTACCTACCTAGTATACCTACGTCTTGTCCGCGAACTGGGATGACCGGTCGATAATCGTCCGGACTGGGGAGGACTTGAATGCACGACGGTTTTTTTATCGTTGTTTTTTATCTCGTCGATCAATCATATTGATATTTGATGGGAAATTTGAACAAATTTATGTACTATATAGGTGTATTAATATTAATTATGTTATTTTCTGGTACAGTCGTACAGTTGGCGTGGCAAACAATGTTAGGCAAAAAAAAATCTGTGATTAACCTACGATTAAATACCTAGTTTATAAACATTAAATCATGTAATATGGATTTTTTATAGCTTAAAATTGATACATTTTAATAAATGCACTGAATTTGTCAATATCGGAAAGGAATAAGACGATGTATTAATGTGTTATTTATGTCAAAAAAAATAATTACAATATATTTTTATATTAGAGCACGTATAAATATTTATACATATTTTTAGTGAAACTAATCATTTGTTAGTGATTGATTTATTTAGCTTTATTTTTATTGCCCAGCACTGGTGAAAACGGTAAATATCAGACTAGTTGTTACTTGTTAGGTACCTACTTGTTAACTGTAATTGTTCCGCCTAATTAACAACCTATTTTTCAGTGGCGTAGCCAGGGGGGAGGCTGAGGGGGCTGCAGGCCCCCCCCCGAAATGTTAATAAAATTTAAAAATTATTTAATGGTCTATGGTATTCGATCAAAAACTAAACCACCGCTGTGTTAAAAATTGATCAGCCCCCCCCCACCCCCGAAAAAAAATCCTGGCTACGCCACTGCTATTTTTCAATTTTTACAAGATACAACCCTTAATATTTAGAAACAGATGACTACGGATTAATGGCTAATTAATACGGTTAAATAATAACATACCACAGTACCAGCTAACTTAATACCTTATACTTATGAGTTTAGGTGTCAGCATTTTGGTTGCTTGGGCCAGCTATATTTGGTGAACTAAATATTCCACAATAATGTGAATTATTAAAATATATAGTTGTGCGTACTTTAAAATAATAAAATTGCATTTAATATACAATTATTTACCATACTTGTATTGAAATAATGAATTACATATTTAAATGTAGTTGTTAAAGTATAAATTAAATATACATTATAATAAGTACCCGTAAGTACTAAGGATTACAAATGCGTAAAACTAAAATATAAAAAAATTGATCTTCAGCTCTCTTTCAAAAATCACAGATTGCAAAATATTATGACACAGATTATAATAGGTAATGTTTAAAATGACGTCACGATTAATAATATTGATAATAATTCGAGTTGGGATGAGATAGTATATATACTTTTGATTTTTTTTCTATTTGGTTTAGGTTAGGCACACATTCATTTATGTATATTTGTGGATTGAGCATATTCATAGGTGCACAACGCTGTAATAAAAATGGATGTGAAATGTTTTATTTTTTTTTACTTTTATGGGTATCTATACCAACTATTTAACAGCTCTTTATACAGATAAATATATTTTAGGGGCTTATGACCTATATTATAACAGCCCATAGGTGCCACTTAAAAGTTTTTATATGAATGCGTTCCCCGGAAATACTAGAAAAATTGAATTTATGTTTGTTTTTATCGTTTATTTAATTTTTAACGATTTTTAATAAAATATTTTTTATAATTCCAAGAGCAAAGTGAAAGTAATGTATTATTTTTTTAATTATAAATGCGAAGTACAATTCAATTTAGTTCTAACTTCGTAGTTGGTATAGTTATTGAGTAAAATAATAAATTATTTTTTTAATAGAAATAAAAACATATAAGTACTTTAAAAATGTTTACTCATGGAAAAACCAATTAGATATGTTCGACTATAAAGTGCATTATTATTAATATTTATTTTTAAACAATTATACTACCCTACACAATTATTTAAAAATTGCTTTTACAAAACATAGAAATCGAGATTGTATATAAAATTATTATGTATCGTAATATATAAAATAAGTAATACCTAACATAATATATAATATTTAAATTTTAGTTACACAGTCAGTTACACAATGTGCAAGAAATTATATTATAAATATCGCAAATGTATTATATTATTGTAATAATAGTAGCAGGTAAATCGATTATAAACATTTCATTTCTATCATATTTTAATAATAATAGTGGTTCGATTGTAAAATTGCAATTTGTTATTAAAATATTATTGAACGAAATTTTTAATTTTTTTTTATTTAAATAAAAGATAAATCGTCTAGGTACTAAAATAAATAGCAAGATAGTTGTATAGAATTTAAAAACGTCACCTAGCTGGCACCTGCACTATCTAATGTATGAACTGCTATTAAATGAGAAAATTATTAGGCAGGTAAAAAGATCGAAATACATTTTTGGAACTCAATACTTTTTCTTTCAAATCATTAAAAGATTATTAGGACTTTCATTCAAATTCGAAAATTTTTAAAGTTGTGTTCAATGAACAAATTGGGTGAAATTAAATACGTACATAGGTTTAATAGAATAAAATATTATAAAAATAATAATACTTTAAAATTGAAGTTTTCAAGTCGACTTTTAAAGAAGAATCCACGAAGAAACCATCATATATTCAATGCCAATAAGTAATAGCATATTAATATAGGTACGTATAAATCGTTTGTAATATATGATTCTAAAACTAAATTTTATGTCCGTCATCAAGATACATGTAAACGATATTCCTTAAGTTAATTAAATGTATAAATCAATTTTATTCAACATACATAACTGGTTCAATGGACAATGGTACGCTTAAAATCGATAAATCGAGATTATACTTTTACTGTTTCTATGATATTTTATTATTATGTAGGTACTATAAAATCGTTAATCTACCGTCGTTCTATAGTTTACTCATTATCATGCCGTTGTAATAAAGCTATTCTTCAGAAAATATTAAGGAATCCAATATTATAAAAATATTTAAGCACAATGAATAAACCACAAGTCAGGACAATGGCATACCTATATAAAAAAACAAATTGTTCAATAATGCTGTGTGGTTGTTTTTTTTTTGTGTGTCTAAACCCCTCTACACTTCAAATCTATTATAGTCATTTATACTTTCATCAGTTATTTTATAAATAATATTAGAATAGATTTTAACGTACATTTTTTTTAAAATAGTTTCTAGGTACTTAATGATAGGTATGCAACATACCTAAATGAGAAACCTGTAAGTCTTTATTTGAAAATGTATAGGTACAAGTTTAAAATATTTAACTATTTGTTTAGTACCTAGGTATGGTACATACAAATTACAATAGTTGATGATTATTTGTGATGAATTTCTTTGAATGGGATTCAATTTTGTTTTAAATTTTTTAAATAAATATTATTTAACTAATATCTATAACAGTTGTTGACATCATTTATTTTGTACACTTATTGTAAATAACTGTACCTAATCCGTATAAAAAATGATTGATTATGAAAAACTCACAAACATGGACAATATACACAATATAGGTGTATAGGCGTATAGCCATATGACGATTTATTGATTAATAATTTATAGCTTACTTTAAATTCACCATTGTACAGATAAAATAATTTGTTATTATCATGTGACTTTCACTTATTTGTTATAAAAGTTAAAATTATTTTTTTTTTTCATTAAGAAACGAAAGGAAAAAGAATATTAAATTTTTTTTTATTTTAATAAAGAAAAAGCCTTGATAACGTGACTATTGGATTGTTTTACATAATATAGTCTTAAATAATTTAAATTCAATTGTAAGATTAAATTATTTTTAAAATGTATAGGTATTAATTATGATTACAATTATTATTGAAGGTCAATATTAGAGTAAAGAAAACTATTTCGAAACATGTCTAAATCTATAGGTGAATTACGTTACTAAAACAATATTATGGTACAATAGTCAATGAACGTATTATATGTTTTTATATTTGGTAGCGTCCACATACGAAGGCAATTTGTTGTCCATTGAAGGCATAGATGGCATCACTGCTATGTATTCTAAAGGTATGACGTTTTTAAATGAATTATCGATAAACATTGAATAGGTAATATATACTCATGAACTGAAAATGTTTAAAAAATAATAAAATGCAAGTATAGTCTTCTATAAATTCTATTAGGTAGGTACTTATAGCCTCTAGAACACTTGTTGGTCAAATAATTTCTTAAGCGAGCATACAATTATTATTTTTCTATATTCATTAAAATTTAAGTGACTATTAAAAATGTTTTGTTATTTACTATTCAAAATATTACAACACGAAAAACTGAAAAGTATAAACTTCAGTTGTTTACATTGGAAAAATAATCGCAGTCGGTTATATTTTTCTGTCTAACTGTGAGGTATTGATAAAATAAATAAAAAAAAGTTTTTTTTAATGGCCTTTATATTTAAATTATAGACGAATAAAATTAAAATTAAATATTTTAAACATTTCGCATAAATTAATATAAATATACGTCGAGAAATTATTGTAATAGTGAGAGGAGGTAATAT